TTATATGTTTTGTATGAGATTACCTTTTATAACTTGTTATACAAAGGTACTGGGTTTAGAATCGAGTACTTTGGGTCTCATGTGATCTAGGGTTGAGGTATGAGTTAGCGGTTTGTTACATACAGATTCCCTGCTTGTAAATTCTATCAAGATTTATTCATATAACATTATACTCTCTAAACATTTTGTCACACTTCCAATATCCGAATAATATTAGTATAATATAATTTACAGAGTTACAACTCCAGAAATGAACAGGGTTTACCATAAGTTGAGTACAAAAGTCTGAGTAATTATTCAAATTCATCAATAGTAGGATTTGAATCTCAGACCTCTTGTAAGGTAGTCTGGCAACCTAACCACTACACTAAAATAGCTAGATCTACTTCTTTTATTATTAATTTTTATTATATTTTATTTTTATTTTATTTTTTTTTATTTTATTTTTTTTTAATTAAAGGCAGCTTACTATGCCAAGCAGATTTTATTAGTTTAATATATAAGGTCGTCTATTGACAATCCCCTATAGTTTGTAATTACATGAAGAGTGTATAACCTGCTACATATACAACTTTAGTTATTGTCTAATATAAGTAGTCCACTATACAAGTAGATCATCTATTTGGTTCTACACAAGCTACCATACCTGTAACCCACTTGTGAGTTACCTATTTAAACACTCTGTTCACCTAACTAATACTGGAAACAACTAATATCACTATAACACCTAACTGCTTAGGCTAGCTAGCTCATTGCAGATCTATTTACCTAACTCAGCTTAGGTTCTCTTGAGATGCGTATTGCTCAACATATTGTAGTATGCAGAGCTCCAGTTAACCTCGTAAGCAATCTTACTAGAGTGGTCCATACCCATTTCACAGATTTACCTAGCTTAGACTTTTGCAGATATTTGTATAACTCTAATTCCTACTGTAGCTCTTCACTAGTTTTTCGTGTCTATCTTCTCAAATGTTTCATGAGGCAGATCCTCCTAATTCAGTTAGCTACCAAGCTAGGTTGGTGTTATTGATCCTCTCTGTGGAATGGATTTATGTGCACTCGACTCAATTGGCATCCTTTGACAATAGTTTCTTTTCTGAATCAAGCATTAGCCAATATGATCGTTGAAAGTTGTACTACTTCACCAACCTGAGATTTCTACTATGTAGATTTCTGCTCATAGATTCTATCAAGATTTATTCATATAATATTACACTCTCTGAACATTCTGTCATACTTCCAATATCTGAATAATATTAGTACAACGTGATTTACAGGGTTATAACTCCAGAAACGAACAGGGTTTACTGTAAGTTGGGTACAAAGATCTGAGTAATTATTCAAATTCATCAACAGTAGGATTTGAACCTCAGACTTCTTGCATGGTGGTCTGGCAATCTAACTACTACACTAAAATCACCAGACTTTATTTTTATTTTATTTTATTTTTATACTATTTAATTATTTTAATATTAGTTATTTTTTTTTCATTATTAACAAAAATGTAGTAGCTATAACTATGAATAACAAGTGTTGTGACTTGTTAGCATATTTGTTAATCTGAATTTTAGAAACTATATATAATTGTTAATAGTATAAAATTATAAGTAGTAAAAGCCTCTTGTAAGCTCTAGTTTATTCGAATATGATAGATGCTATTTTGTTTTCTGTTTATCTTACTTATGCATAAAATAGAAAAGTCTTAGGATTCAAAGTTTTTACTACATATTGTAATTTATAAAAGATCTTTATCTTCTAGCTTACTATAAAATAATAGGATTAAAATTAATTAATTCTTTATTTTATTTTTTTTATTATTTTATTTTTATTTTTATTTTATTGCTTTAATTAAATTAATTAAAATTTATAATATTTAGAAACAGAATTTATTTAAACAACAAAAATTTTATTTTTATTTTATTTATATTATTTATTATATTTATCTCACTTCAAAAAACCCAAACTCAAGTCTAGTGACCTAGTATAGTAGTTAGGTTGTTAGACTGCTATGCTATAGGTCTGGAGTTCAAATCCTACTATTGACGAATTTGAATAATTTTTTAGACCTTGTGATATGTTATAGTAAACTCTGTCTGTTTCTAGAGGCATACTCCTATAAATTGAGTTATACCAAATCGATCAGAACTTGGAAGTGTAGTATAATATTACATGAATAAATCTTGATAGGATATATGAGCAAGGATCTGCATAGTAGAAATTCTGAGTTAGTGAAGTAGTATACAACTCTTTATAGGAATCTTATATAAGGAGTTGTCAATCACTATATAAAAATCTATATATAAAAAATTAACTCTTAGAACGCAGTAAATTTATAGATTACAAATATGAAATCAATACCAAATATCAAAAATATACATAATATTCTATTTGATAATAAGAATTGTATTGATTTTTTGTTTGAAAATAATATACTTTACAAACAAACTACTTGCAAATCTTGTAATTCAGAACTATATTTAATAATCATATATATGAACAAAAAATATATATTTGCAAAAATTTAGAATATCACAAAACTTTTGCTATATACAAAGATACTATTTTTTTTAATAACAAACTAGGATGTACAAATACTTTAATAATTGCTTACCTATGGTTAACAAGAGTAAAATATACACAAATAGCTTTAATTACTAGTTTCTCTTCAAATACTATAGTCAAATTTTGTAAAATATTTAGAGAATTAGTTATCAATACTCTTACTGAAGGAGATGAAATTATAGGTGGTGATAAGATTATTTGTAAGATTAACAAGAGTCTCTTTAATAACTTTTGGATCATTAGTAATTAATAAATTTAATTTATATTTTGTTTATTTATAATCTGTTTTATATTCTAATATATTTTTTTACAGGAGCTATTGAATGAACTAAAGAAAAAAAATGTTTTTTGTTATTATTGATAATAGAAATACAGATACTATTAGAGCAATAATCAAAAATATATTAAACCTAGATCAAAAATATATTTTGATAGGTATTTATTTTTTTTATTTATTATTAAAATTTTATTTAAATATTAAAATATTTTTTGTTTTAGCTAGAAAGGATATTCAAAACTTGAAGAATTAGGAATGAAACATATTCGTATTAATCATTCAAAAAGAAATGTTGAATATTTAAAAAGAAAAATTCATTCAAATACAATCAAAGGTATAGTTTTTTTATTAAATTATTAATTTATTTTTTTAAAAAAATAATATTTTGTTTATAATTAGGAACTTGGGCTGCTTTAAAGAAGTTTATACCAAAATACAATAGACGTAAAGATAAAATTAAACCTTATTTGAAAGAATTTATATGGTAAAGCAAATATAGAGAGAATCTTTGGATTTCATTTTTAAATACATTAAAACAACCTATTAATTAATTAATAATTTTTATTTCTTTTAATTAATTATTATAAAATACATGAATCTTTAAACTATATATTTATAAATTTTGAGAATAAAAATTTTTCTACATTATAATATTTATACAATATAATTTTATTATATATTCTTTATATTTTTGATATAACTCTGTAATCTTATAATTATTAAAGATAAAAATTAGTACATCTGTATTATGCTATAAAAATTTAGCACACTTAACAAACAGGTTTAACCATAAGATCTTTTCACTACAATGCTATAAAAATTCACCATATCCTTTAAATACTAATTAGATCCTCATCTGATTATCTGACAAATATTATATGATCAAAATTCAGAATCAAACTAATATATTCTAATAGCAGTGTATATAAGATCTCAGTACTAAGCAAGAATAAAATCTTACCTTTTGTTAATATTTTTATTAATAAAGAAATGTTTCTGGCTAATATTGAATTAAGAAACAATAATAGCCAAAATCTAAAAGCATTACTCCAAAAATTGCTAAAGTATATTTGAATATTTTTAAAGAAATAATCTTGTAAATAAAAAGTTAAATATCAAAATTAATTTGATATTCTTCAGATAATATATTTGAAATTAAAAGAATATGTAAAATTAAAATTGTTAAGATTAAAGAAGATTAAGAAGTAGGAAAACAATAAATTATTTTGTCTACACACTCCTTTAGAACTTAAAAACAATAATATACCGCAAGCTTTTTCACTCCAGTTTTCCTTTTTTTTTGACAAAAGTGGGGAATCTAGATTCCCCCCTCCAAAAGATCAGCAATATTTACTCTTTTTATTTTTAGAAAAACTCTGTAGATATGCAACTTTATGCAGTAAACAAAGCCATGTACTCTGTTTGGCAAAGTCATGTACTTTGTTTTTACAAAGTTACATACTTTGTTTATTGTTTAGTCTATTACATGACCTCAGTGCTACAGATCCTAAATTCTGAAACTGGATTGTACGTTAGAAAGAAAAATTCTAGAAATAGGTTACAAGTTGCATAACGTAAAATTTTTAAGCCTGACCCAGGTTATAGGGTATCTGGTTACTATTTTAGTTTCTTTTGTATTCTGTTCCTTTCTTTATATTACTGCCTAACAAAGTTTTTATGACTTGGAGCAAGTTTTTCTTTGTTAGTAAGTTTAGCGCTTTTAGATTAGTAACAATTATTATTTTTTTTATCTTGAGACTAGGTGTTAACTACTTGTAGCTTAGTGTTAATTAGGTTATAAGAGACCTAGGATCT